AGACACGACTCTTTCCCGAAGACGGGGACCCTTCCTCCTGGGCTGAGCCGCGGCCGGAGATGCGCCTGAAAAGCGTGGGCGTCCGCGGCGAGGGGGACGCGGCGCTCCGGGGAACACGAAGGGTTAAGCCCCGCTTCCGCCGCCCCGGCGCGGAGAATCGCGCTAAGCGCAGCCACTCGCGCCCCCCAGGCGCAGGCGAACAGCCACGGTAATAATGCCGTTCGCATCGGCTGCCGCGGGATCCTGCCCCCCATGTCGGTGGAAAGCTGCGCTTTTCTGCTCTTCCCCCTGAGCAGTCCACTGGACTTCAGTGGAGCCATTGGCGAGTCTCCAGATCTGTATTTTCCCCGTGCACCAAAAGACGAAAAGAAAGAAAGATGGGTCGATTCTAATCCAGTCCCAAGACCCCAGCAGGATCCTCCCCGCGCCCGTGCCCACCCCAGCCCCTGCCATCATAAGCAAGATTTCTTTTATTTGCGCTGACCATTTGTTTCAAACCTTACCCCCCGAGAGCAGGCCCTGCTCCTTAAAACTCTTCTCCATTCCACCTTCTGGCACACAGACAGGTCGGTAGCAAGGGCGGCGGGGAGCCCGAGAGGGAGGCGGCGGGTGGGCGCGTGAAGTCCTAGCCTAGCTCCGAGACCTCCTTTTGGCGGGGTGGAGACAGGTTCCCGCGGACACAGTTTAAAAGCAACCTTCAGTGTAATTCTCTTCCCCCAGAAGTATTTAAACTTAAAGGAATAAAAGTCGAATGGGGTGCTAGGGGGGTGGAAAGGGGAATTAAAGGCAGACAGGCCAATTTTGTAACAACGGGGATAGGCTGGAAAAATCTGAAATAGTCTCCTAGTTGTATAATTCCCATCGAGGTTGGTTAAGGCAGAAAGAATGCAGGCATTTAAGGGAAGAAAACAAGAAAGAAGGGCGGGGGAGATCGCAAGGGACTTGAAGAGAAATAGCCCATGTATTCAAATCTTTTGACCCTTGTCGATTTTTTTATTATGATCGGGCGTCTTATAAAAGTTATACGAGTTTCCCCCTTTCTTTGCTAGCCATAAAAGCCTTTCATTCATGTGGCCCACGAGGGAACCTCATTAGTCTAGAGCGCTTAATTATGTTTGTAGAAATGGAAAAGCAAAGGTCACCAGAATTCGGTGCTGTGCCTGATATTACACCGGGAACTTGGTTCCACTTTCGGACACAAGGGGTCGCTGTTGCGATCGTGTCGAGGCAAAAACCTTTGCTCCTTTCTTTCTCATCAGTGGCTGAACGAATCTGTTAAAAATAAACAAATCCAGATATTTACACGTATATACACATGCACACAGAATATATGCATTCACTGTACTCCAAATGGGCATACTGATGCATACATACACACAGAGTACAAATAGCAAGAATAGACAGCATTTCTCAAGATAAACACAAAAGAAAAAATTCATAGGCTTTTGCATCAATGCGAGGTTTGCCACTGATGTCAATGGCATATGGATCGGAACCTTAAGATACACGTGTTTAAGTTATTTGCACGCATACACCAATCTGGTCTGCATATTTACATATTTATACACACGTGTACACCAATCCGCTCTGCAATCCAGTTTGTAATACGTTTTGTAGTTTGATTATAGCACGGGATGAAACAGAAGATAGCTGAATAATGAATAACATTTCTAGAAATAGGCACTTGCTGGACGGACACACTTTGCAAAAGAAAAGGCATCATCTTTTAAATTTGTATCCAGACAATCAAGGGGGTTGTGACGTTCCTCCCTTTGAAACCATTCCAAGTCAATCGTATCCTTGTCCTATTTACACTTCAAAATAATGCGAGGAGGCAAAGGGGCCCGTCAAACCCCCCTTGCGCACGTGTGTCCTGCAAAAGTGAGGTTGCCCCTGTAGCTTCCACGGACGCTTCGAGCTTCACCAATCGGGGCTCAGGGAATTTCTCCTGGTGCGTCCTCCTAGTGGGGGACCAGGAAGGATCCGAGGGTCTCGCCTCCACGCGTGCTGCAGAGCCCTGCTGCTGGATTAGCCTCTATTCCAGTCGAATTACCTGAAAAGAGATCCCCCTCCCCCCTTCTCCTGATCTTATGCGAGGCTGCTAGATTCGGGATGGCTCTCATCAGCTATTTTCTTGGTAATTGCTTATTGGTTGAAAGAGCTAAACCCTGCATGGGAAGGGGAAGGCGGCTTTCTTTCTCGAAATTCGCAAGGACCACTTCGCCGCCGCCGCCGCCCCGACCCTCCCGCCCGCTCTGCACAGTGAATCGTGAAATATCCCAGCGATGTTTTCTTACATCGCCAGGTTTGTCTTCTGACCTCACCTGAAGACAGTTTTCAAGACAGTTTACGGGAACACTAAACTTCCCCCATCCCTTTTTCAAAAGAAGTAACGTGAAAAGCATATTCAGCTTCTTACAGATCCCAAATAAAATCAACTTATGGGTGGCCTTGTCCCCGCCTCCACTGCAGCGCGGTTTTGCCTGAGAGGCCAGCTTTCCTTGCAACATCTTCCCTTCGTCATTCAGAAGCATCGGCAGCAACGCGAACTGGCGTTCCAGCCTTTCAGGCACAATATTTTCCGGTTCCGTAATTACTCCACCGAAGTGGCTTAGTGAGGTTGCGTGTTCGAGAAGAGAGCCTGGGATCCCTTTCCTTAGGAGTGGTGGGACTAATGTTCAGGTGACCTGCCTGCCACCCATGGGACTGGGATGCTGAGGTGGGGTTATCCTCAGGGAGAGCGCCACTTCCGCAGCTGGCCTCCTTAAAGCCACAACCAAGCGGATCTCCGCTGAAATAAAGGGGTGGGGAGCTGGACAAGATTGTGCGAAGGAATTTCGCACAGGATTATTCCCCTTCTGTCATACTGCTAGTTGCTTGATCTTACAAACACACCGTATTTATTTATTATATTTATATTCCACCTTTTTTCTTTAGTTCAAGAAATTCAAGACAGCTTACGCAAGTTTCTCAATTTTATTCTCACATCAACAACCCTGTGGGGTAGGTTAGCTTGAGAGCCTGTGACTGGCCCAAAGTCACCCAGCTATCTCCATGGCTGAGCGGATCTTCTGAGCCCCAATCCGGCGCTCTTAACCACTGCACCACACTGGCTCTCAAGGAGATGCAGGGTAATTGTAAAAGTCTCTAAACTGTAACAGTCAGTCATAGGATCAGTTTGGGGCCAGGACTATACCGTTGTTTGCCTGGGCTGGAGGCGGAGGTGAATTGCGAAGCAATCCAGAGTCCAATCAATTCTCCGGAACTTTCCTATTAAATCACCTATCTCCGAATCTATAAGCCTAAACTTAGTCCGGGCTGAGAGGAGAATTGTATGAAGCTTCGGGAGAAAGTCCTTCCAAAACAATGGGGCACATTCCCAAACTGAAGGCACAGTGGGGCGGGCGGGGTTCGCCTCAGCCACTGCTGGCCCTTATCCACGTGTCTAAGACAGCCGAAGCCTTTCCCAAGTGCTCAACTGAGCAAGCGTTTGCAGCCTCTGTGGCCGCCCTGGCTCCGGGAGCAGCCGGGCTGCTGTTTCCACAGCAAGCACCAGGCAGCACACCTAGGAAGGGCAGGGGAAGGGATCTTTCAGTGAGGTTTGTTTGACTTTTGCTCTACCGAGGCCAACTTTCTCGAGGTCTTTCCAATCCAATGGAGCAGAATCCGCAAAAATCCACTGAAACTGACTTCCGGGTGAACCGCTTAGGATCGGAGGGATGCTTGGCACCGGCTAAACTCCTGGAAGTGCGCAGGAGCCCCGGTTCCTTGGCCATATGTCATACCGTCGCGGGGAGAGGCAGAAGAGAAGCGAGCCTTTTGGAGGAACGGGGGCGGCTCTTTAGCGGTAGCGAGAGGCAGCGATCAACTGGCGTCTCGCTAGCACGTTTCTTCTTCGCCGTGTACAATAATTTTCAAAGTACAGCGGGTAAATATGTAAGCAGCGAAGCCTTCCTCGCCTCCCCACTTTTGGTGACATAATACAGACTGCTTTGCTTTAAATCCACCGCTCCTCCCCCAGTATTGGGTCGGTCACCTGATCCATTTCGCTTCGTGTGCGGAGGGAGATCTGGGGAAGACAGGGAGCAAACAGTTCAGGGAAATCAGCGTATTATTTCTTTTACTAAAAACAATCGCAGGGGAGGGAGAGGGAGAGGGAGAGGGAGGCAGCGCGCGCGAGCGGTCAGAGACAGCTGCCTTCCTTATAATCCCACGAAGAGGGATGGATGGTGAAGCGGCGATGGGAAGAGAAAGGAGGCGTGGGGTCACCCTCGCATTTATTTTTATTCATCTTATTTATGGCTGAGCGAAGGGAAGGGAAGCAGAAGAGGAGGGAAGAAGTTGCCTCCGAATTCCTCCTCCTCCTCCTCCGCCCCGCCTGATGCCTGGCTCCGCCGCGGGTCTCTCCAGCCTCGGCCGCCGCCGCGGCTCTCCTCCTCCTCCTCCTCTCCCCCCTCCCGCGCCGCCGCCGCCGCCGCCCGCCCGCAGGAGCCCCAGCCCTGAAATACGATAATCCGCGCAGCTGCTCCGGCGCTCGCTCCGCCCAATCAGCGGCGAGGGGGCCTGACGTCTGCGCGGCCGACGCCGACCAATGGCGAGCGGCTGGAGTTGTAGCAGAGAAGTTTGAGTAAGAGATAAGGGAGAGGAGGCGGCTGGCGGCCGCGGCGCGCTCGGGTCCCTCCCGCACGGTGGAGCGCCTCGGCCCCTCGCTGGAGCGCGCTCTCCCCGCGCCGGCGCTTCCTCTCGGCCCGTGCCGTGCCGCCCCGTGCCGCCCCGCTCGGCGGACCAGCGCGCCCGGACCCGGGCAGAGGGCCCCCCGCGCCTGGGGGCCGAGCCGGCAGCACCTCTCCCTCCTCCTCCTCCTCCTCCGCTTCCACTGACAGCGCCTGCTCCGCTCACGGGGAGCATCCGATTTTCTTCTTCCTCCTTTTTTTACTCCCTGGGAAGCGTCGTCGCCGCCGCGCACCATTTCACTGTGGACTCTATACCCTCTTACAGATATGGGAGATATGGGCGACCCACCGAAAAGTAAGGAGGATGTTATTCATCCATTCTTTCCCCCTTTCTTCTTTATAAATGATAAAGACATAAATTGCAGCTGCTCGTCCGAGGAACGAAATGAAGTCAAGGTCCCCGTGCCGCAGCCGAGAGCGCCCGAAGCCTTGTGAGAGCGCTTGGGGGTTCCCGGCTCGGCTCGGCTCGGCTCGGCTCGGCTCGGCTCGGCGGCGCGCCTGGGCTCCTTCGGAGGGGAGCCTTCCGTGCAGAAGTCGGGGATGAAACGGCGAGCGGTAGGGGCGGCCAGAGCGCGAGCGGGCGTCCCAAGTCGGGATGTGCCGCGGCGAGGGGAGTGGGGGTGGCTGATGAAGTCTCCTGAGGCTGAAATATTGTGAGGCGTTGCTGGAAGTGAGGCCCCGTTGACCATGAGTGGGACTGAGCTGCCCCTAAACGCGTTCAGGGATCGCTCTCTCGCCCTGAGCGGGAAGAAGCGCGATCCCGATCCATCCAAGCTCTCGCAGGAGCCTTGCATAAGCAGACTTTTGGTGAGGTGCAGATTGCTGTCCTTTGAATGCTCGGAAGAGCTCTTGTTCCTAAGGAAGACATTTTCCATGTCAAAATAGGGGATTTCCTTCCGAGTAAACACGCTCCGGATCCGGCCGCGAGCTGACTTCCCGGCTCCAGGTCTGTCCTTTTGGCAACAGAGTGTGTGAAATTGACAAAAGGGACTGAAATTGATACATCTCACCCTGCCAGTTAGTGCTCGCACGAGCGGGCCACCGGAGAGTTCCGTTTCCCAACCTCCTCCCAATTCAAAATCGAGAGGCGCAAAATTAATCACACACATGCATTCTCCCCCCCCCCAAAAAATATTGGCGTAAGGGGTGTTTTGATTGCGTGGAAGGCGTGTAAAGTGCGCCACGTTCTCGATTATGCCAGGCTGAATTTGAATCTGCGTTCCGCCTCCCCCTAAATGAGGGGAGCCTTTTGATAGCACGCGCACACTCCAATTACCATCCTAAAATGCTGCTGTGTCTCTCGCCCGTTCCCCGGTCCCTCCCCCTCCCCTCCTATAACGCCACCGCCACCAACAAGAGCCGCCGCGACCCGCTCCCGAAGAGTCGCAGCCTGCGCGGGTGATCGACACTAATAAAGTGTGTTTATCACCGTAGGAGAGCAAACGTTTCGTCAATCATGTCTTTTATTATTTGCCTTTCAGAGAAGCGGCTGATTTCCCTGTGCGTCGGTTGCGGCAATCAAATCCACGACCAGTATATTCTGAGAGTTTCTCCGGATTTGGAATGGCACGCGGCGTGCTTGAAGTGCGCGGAATGTAATCAGTATTTGGACGAGACGTGTACGTGCTTTGTTAGGGATGGGAAAACCTACTGTAAAAGAGACTATATCAGGTAAGAGGCTGATCTTTCTTCCTCCTCCTCGGTCCCCGCCCCGCCCCCTCCGCGTCGTCGTTCTAGCGAAATAATGCGACAAAAAGACCTGGCGTTGCTGCTGCTGCTGCTATTATTCGTGCGGGTTTGGGAAAGGCGCGCGCGAAAACAAAACCCCTGCATGCATTTCTGGGTTTCTAAAATGAGCCGCGATTTCCTTCTTAAACGCGGTAACCTGGAGGTAAGTTGTCCCCTCGTTTCCAACGGTAAAGAGCCATGGAAACTTATTCGCGGTTTCGGTTGTAAGGTACACACACACACACGGGCAAAGAGAGGACGAGAGAACGGTGTGATGCGTGTTTACTGAATTAAGCCTTTGTATATGCAGTGGAATCGCAGGGAAGGCTCCCTTGCAAGTATCTCGGCTGTGCGAATTTCTGTACACTCTCTCCCCTCACGCCCGTCAAAGGATTTTAATCAAGCCTCCTCCAAAATAGGACGGGACAGAGGCTCCCCAGCAAATGTTCCATAATAACCTTTCCAGGCGCAATTTGCAAGTGGTCCTGCAAAATGCGTTCCCCCCCTTTCTCCCAAGGACCGGGGTGCTGTGCGGAGGCAGGCTGGCGCTCCAGGCCTAGATGCAATTACTTAGGAGGAAGATCGGCTGCCATTGGCAGCTCTTTCTTGCTAGTAAATTTCTGAGAATCTGAGCCCTGGCAGGCGCAGCAGCGTTGCTTGGCAGTGAGGGCTGCTGAAATGATTCCAGAGGAGATGTGTTTTGGAGACTCGGGTATGCATGTTGCAGTTTTCTGGGAGGGAAACAGGGCATCATTTTGGAGGGGGGGGTGACTACAATTTGTCACCATTTGCCTGGATCAAACTCTGTTTAAGTGGAGAGTCCCCTCCCATCCGACTTGAGCTAATATCAGCACACCTGAAATTAAGTGGATTAATTGCCTTTGGGGCCTGCAGCCTGGCTGTTGTGTCTGGTTTTTTATATTTTGTATATAAAGTTACCATATAACCACACAAAATACAGAATTGACCAGATTAAAAGAGGCTCTTCCATATCTTGCAAAATAAATAAAAGATCCTGAGTGAAGATCCTGGGCTCCCCCTTTGTGTACTTTCCCTGAGCTCACTGCAGAAGGGATGTGAAACTAATTATTAGTAGCAATAATAACATAATAATGATAACCCATGTTCTGTTATCCTAATAAAGGAGGGTTGTCCATAAAAGGGCTGTGGGACACACGCACACACAAATAACATGACATTTAATCTTTTTAAATATTAACCCTTTGGGCGCTCTCGGACTGCCTCTCCTTTCTTATCTTATCTGCCTTGATGAATTGGACAGAGGAGATCAAATTGCCCTCATCTGTTGGTGAACAATCGTACATTTAGATAATGGAACAGCTTCCTTCCTTGGCATGAAAAAGTGGGAGCTGATTTTTTTTTTTAAGTTGGCCATTGCTGACTCGTAGCGAAAAACCTTTAAAAACACATCCACACGCTCAACTTTGAAACCGAAAAAAGGAGGAGGGAACTGAAGGGGCTCTTGGTTTTCTTCTCGCTGTTTCAGAAACGGGAGAGGGGGAAGAGGGATGATTTAGGTTAGTCTAGGCTACTGTGACCCTGCTGGATGTGATCTCTGCAGAGGGGGCAAAGGTTTGGCCACCCTAAGAGCGCAGGCACCGGAGGGCCCGATCCGGCAGAAATTTTTCTCTCCTTAGATCCCTTAGCAGCAAATGGTGAGAGATCTTTCCCACTAGATTGTGCCCAGTCTTCTGCCCGGTTGTGTTTTCTTGCGTTGGTAGGGACTTCTCAAGTAATGAGGATCCTTAGGTTTCTTCTGAATCACTCCACGACTCCCAAAGTATAGTTTACTACCTACGAAATCAATCGGGCTTGCATGTGGACGTCCCAAGTGGTAATCGCTCCGAATGAGTAAGGAATCCCTGCTCCCTCGGAAAGTCCGACAATCGGGTGGAAATCCAGGTTCTCTTGACTCATTTCTTGTCTTTTGTTTCCGAGGGACCTGGCTGTTCCTAGCATTTCTGCTGGCTCTGTTCAGGCGCCGGATCTTTTGGCCAAGTCTCTCTCTTTTTCCTTCTCCTCCTCAGAATCAAGAGCTAGCTTGGTCAAAAGAAAAGACTGTGAACTAGCCCTTTTCTAGGCTGGGTGAGATCAGATTCTCGCATTCATTTTAAAATATCGACGTGTGTCTTTGCAGGAGCCGATCTGTTTATGCCCTGTTTCCAGACGTGTTTGCAGCCCGATTCTAGTCAGGTTTACTTAAAAGTAAACTCCCAGGCTTGGGCATTGGTTTCCTAGAACGTTTGCTTTGGATTCCAGCCTGAGATATAACTCTCCCCGACCCCGTCTCCCTATGTATTTGCCTGAAAGTGAGCGGGTGTGCAGCTGAGCTTACTCCCACGTAAATCAGAGCGTGCTCTGGATTGCAGCGCTGGGTGAGAGCCGCTGGGCTGGGGACTGAATGGAACTGGCTGGTTGTTCGGGTTGGTGTGTTTACCCGGAACTACACGGATCTGTCTGAGGTTAGAAGCCAATGCTGTGCGTCTGTTTGGCGATGGCTTTGCCTGAAATGCGAATAGGAAAGCCGGCACGTTTCGACTTGCCACGCCGCGATCCTCTGCGAGCTTGCTCAGAAGGAAGCCCTAGCCAGGTCAGTGGAGTTTGGTCTCAGCTCAAGGGGGATCAGGCTGTAGCCTTAATTAAGCCGGGCCCGGGTTCACTTTTGAGCGGGGAAAGCATTGCACATCAGCAGTGGGACTCTTTAGCTTGCCATGTGCGCAGAAATGTGGGACAGATCCCGCAAGAAGCCACGAGGCCGAGCTTCACACCGAAAGGGCCGACGCATCTATGTTGGGCTACATCCTACAGTTCAGGCGAGGTCGCTCGAGCGCCCGGTTCTGGGTCTCCGTGCGCTTTTCGGTGCTTCTGAACCTGCTCTGTTGATGAGCCCCGGGAATGCGTCTCCTGGAGCGCAAGGGCCGTCCCGCATTTGTTTGAAATTCCCCATGGCCAGGACTGGCGGCTCTGCAAATAAACGTGCACCTAAAATTCAGCTTCTTAAAAAAAAAAAAAAAAAAAAAAAAAAAAAAAACCCCCCACCATTTCCCCCCCCCCCCCCCAAGGAAACCTTAGCTGAACTATTCAGTGGATTCTGGAGCAATTCCCTTTTATTTCAGCAGGACTACTTGAGAGCCCGTGTTGGAGAGGAGGTTCGGCTGCAGCTAAAATTATTTGATGGAATAATTTATCGGGAAATTGCGGAGGGGGAGGGGAAGAGAAATCCCGAAGCGGTACAAATCAGACGTCTGGAGGGCGGTGTTCTCCGCGGACGCCCTCTGTTTTCCCCAGACGGAAGCCAAGCTTACCGATCTGGGAGTGCTGCCTTCGGGAACTTGATCTGCACGCGAGTAAGGAGGCCTGGAGGCTGGGCGGAAAGGTGCGCACTCGGAGGCACGGCCAAGGTTCGCCTTGGATGATGCAAGGCCGGAGGGATCTGGCCACGATCCACGAGAGCACTACTTCAGCTCCGAAAATCCATGCAAATGAGTTTTACTCATGAGTTAAAAAACCAAGCGAACCTTGAATAATACACTCCTATTATTACTACTACTACGGCCTTATTTTATTATTCTGTCTTTAAAGGCACAGAGCTTTGATTTTTTGGGGCTTTTAGCCAGCAATAATCTCCCAAGAAAACTGGACACTCCAAGAATAAATTCTCCAGGTTGCCGAGGACGTCTCCCTAAATTCCCCAGATTTACTGTATTATAAAGAGAGAGTCTATCCGCTTCACCTGGGTGTTCCAGCTTTCTAGATCTTCAGTATCGCTGAGCAGGACGCAGAGAGAATAGCTTATTCAAGTTTGCAATCCTTGAAATCCTCCTTACTAGGAAAGGAGTCCTACTGAACTCAATAAGGATTACTTTCAAGTCACGGTAGCTAAGATCGGGATGTGTGTGGAAGGGAGGTGTTTTTTGGTTGGTCATCGGGTTTTAAAAATCGTCATTATTAAAGAAAGCCTTATGTGTGCAGCTTTTGTTCAAGTTAGTCGCACTCAATGGCTCCCCCACCCTCTTCCTTTCTCCCTACTAAGGATTTAGGCAGCCTTAAATTATCTGCGATGGACTGCAGTGCTGCGCCAGGGCCAGAGCAGAAAAAGCTCCACTATCACTTATCGGAGCCGCGGGGTTAGATCTGCCCCCCCCCCCCCCCCCCCTCCCCGGGTCCAAGACAGCGACAACCCCCCCCCCCCGCACGACAACGTTTCTGTTCTTTTCATTTTGTCCTTCCTGCGGTGTTGTACGGGGCCTGCGCGCAGGGGGGAGGGCTGGTGCCACCGACCCCCCTCCGGTTCCTCCCCGTTTCGAGCTTCTGGTTCGCCAGAGGGGCGATTAACCGAGCACCGGCCAAGCGGCCTGAAAGCTGAGCCGGCTGAGCCAAGGCAGGAAAGGCTCAGTTCGAAGGGGCGGCCGGAGTGAAATCTCTCTCTCTCTCTCTCTCTCTCTCTCTCTCCCTCTCTCTCTCTCTCTCTCTCTCTCTCTCTCTCTCATCCCCCTCCCCCTCCTCTCTTCTGCCCCCTCTTCTCTGCTTGTGCCCCCTTGCCGGCGGGACCCGGGCTCAGGTTATACGGCATCAAGTGCGCCAAGTGCAACATCGGCTTCAGCAAGAACGACTTCGTGATGCGGGCCCGCTCCAAAGTGTACCACATCGAGTGCTTTCGCTGCGTGGCCTGCAGCCGCCAGCTCATCCCCGGGGACGAGTTCGCGCTGCGGGAGGACGGCCTCTTTTGCCGGGCGGACCACGACGTGGTGGAACGAGCCAGCCTCGGCCCTGGGGACCCTCTCAGCCCGCTGCATCCCGCCAGGCCGCTGCAGATGGCAGGTACTTCCCGGCCCGCAGGCAGAGACTCTGGGGCGCGGGCGGGGGAGGCCCGGGAGGGACGGAGGGAGGATGCTCCGGGCCTGGGTTGCGTTCCTCTTCCCTCTCCTCCTGCCCCACTCCTGCCTCCTGGACCGCGGCTCCTTCCCGGCGTCGGCCGCGTCTAGGCAGAACGTCTCCTTAGTGGCCCTGCTGCCTTCCCTTTCTTGCCGTGTTCGCTCTTTGCAGGGAAAAGCCCTGCACACCTTGAGGGAGAACACAGTCGCCCTGAGCTCAGTGGGGCTTAGGGGAACTCGGAGCATCGCAGGCCTGGGTTTCCGAGGCTCAGGAACACACACACACACAGAGATTGGGAACCAGTGGCTGGGAGCGGGATGCATGAAGCGCATGCCTCTTGCAAGGGGATGCACGTATAGAAGCAAGAGAACTCTTCTCATAAAGCTGTAGAGCTGTAAAGACTTACTGGTGTGGCAGCTACAGGGAACCCAGAGTATTTATGGATAAGTACACAGGATAAGGCCGGTTACCTTGAGCACATATGCACGCACAGTGTGTGTGTGTGTGTGTGGGAGAGAATGTGCCTCTGCACTTATTCTGTCTATACCTATTAAGTGAGCACAGTGCATGATAGTGGTAGAGTGAAACACTTCCGTTGAAATCCAGGTGGTGGGTATTTGCTTGCCATTGGCAGGATCATGCCCTTGACAGGTAGCTGGAATTGAGAAAGAAAGTAAGTAGGTGCACACCCTTTCTTTGAAACCAGTGGGATGCACAGCCAGATCTTTGGCATGTTTGCTTGCAAGTAATTCCCACATTGTGCCACACAGGTTCTGCCCAAATATGTGGGAATCTTACAACACAGTCCTAAGGCAGTTCACTTGGAGAGGAGTCTCCCAGAATCAAAAGGGGAGTTTTCCAGATTGTAGCCTTTAACCTGCAAAGACATTGGACTGAGCTAATAGAAGGACCCCATGCATGTTTACACAGAAGTAAGTTCTGTTACGTTCAGTGGGTCATACTTCCAGATAAGTGTGCGTGGGATTGTGGTCCTACATAATATCTCCTTGTTCTTAGGAACTCTGCCAAACAAACAAAAATGCTCCATAAATACAATTGTATGCATACTTTAGACAGGAAAAGGTCCTATAACTCCCAGGATTCCCTGCTGGCTGGGAAAGTCCTGGAGTTGTAGACCCCCCCCCCATGTATAACAATCACACTCTGAGAGAAGCTTTTATTATTATTACTAATTTTTTTTTTTGCAAATATCCATTGCTGAAACCTACACCCTAATCTTTCTGCATAGCTAATAGCATACTGATTTTAACAGAATCTACTTCCATGTAAATAGCTGGAGAATTGCAGTTGGTTCTATGAAAATCAGAGGAATTCATCAGTTTAGGTCCAAGGGGATAGATACAGATAGTAAGTTATCCAAGACACATAAGCTGAAGCTGATGCATGGATCAACTCAGGGTTTATCCCCTTCCTTGAAATTAATTGTGTAATCCTATGTGTGTCTACTTAAAAATTAATTCCAGGGGATTTTCTCTTTAGGCAATTGTGGTCTGCATATGCATCTCTAGTCCTACTGAACACAATGGGACTTATAAGTTAACCTGTTTAGGATTCCATCCTGCTCCCAGTGTACTTAGGATCTGGTGACTAAAGAGTGCCTTTACTCTCACATTAACCACCAGTGGCCCTGGCTTCCGGGAAGATATAGCAGAAATGTCATGGATCACTTGGAGTCCAAATCCTCTTCTTGTTAAAGTCAATGGAAAATGTTGATTGATTGAAATGGATCTGAAGTCTACTGGAGTCCAAAGGGCATCTAGCGGTAAATAGGACATTATCTACTGAGTTGAACCACCAGAGTAGTAATATTTTTTAAATATACCTGATGGCTTAATATAAACAGAAAGAGCACATATGCACCAATTTTGAATGCCAGTGTGCCTGTTTATATAGAGCTATGTATCTTGTACTGTCAGGTATATGGTCCGGATAATCATGTGGTATTTATATCTGGCATTGCACGTAAAAGGGAGGGGGGCGGGGGCGGGAGGGAGAGAGAGGCACAGACCTGGATCCAAACTTGGCCATAGTTAGTATAGACCTATGAAATTTGTCCCCTTGATTTCAGTGGGTGAACTCTAAACGTGTCTACATCTGGATCCAGCTGTGCAGACTGCAACTTGCACTACAAGAATTACTGTACATCACAGGGCAGGATTGTTTTCAGCCTGCAGTCCTATGCCAGCTAGGTCAGCAATGATGATGAGACCCTTAATCTCTCTCTTCGAGGACGAGATCTATTGAGCTCAGTGTGGCTTATTCCCAGATGAGTGGAAGTGAGATTGTAGCCTAAGGTTAGGTCCCAGACCCTAAGTACGCTAAGAGCGCGAGTAACCATGCCAAGGGCTCGACTGTCCCTGTTGTCATTTTCTCAGTAACAGTTTCTAAATTCTTGTGAAGAGGTGGGTAGGTATATATGCAGGGGGGATGAGCATAGGGAAAAGTCAGGTATGAAAAACAAAAATTGGAGGAAGAGCTGAGCAGAGAGCGAAGCCCTTCTCCTCTCTCCCGAGCAGCCACGCCTGAGTGCCATCTTTTCAAGCCACGCTCTTCCAGACTTGGTCTGTTTTTGCATGTGAGATTGAGGGGCAAAGGGTGGGCGTAGCTTTCCAAAGGGGGAATCGGAGAGAGGACTATAGGCAACTAGTTCAAGTTGTAATTTAAAACTGTCAACAGGCTAATCTTCAGTAATTGGCATTCAAAGGAATTCTGCCTTCTCTGATGGTTTGGGTGAGAATTTCAGCAGAAAATGTTCAAGTCCATCCAAGACGAGGACCTCACATTTCCCACTTTTTCTTCTACTTTTTTCCTAGAGCATTTTAGCCCCTCTTTTCATGGTGCCCTTCGCAGCTTTGCGGGGTGGGAGTGAAGTACTTATTTTCTCATCCCCATCAGAGTAAACAAAGCAGGACTGATGAGGAGAGAGAGGTCTGCAACTTTTCGATCATTCTGTTCCCCCTCTGCCTGCCTGTTCATCCGTGTGTTCAGTAGTTAGAATAAGGACACCTGCAGCTTGGGTTGCAATGCTTGTTGCATGGGAACACCTCCCACAAAATGCAAGAACAAGGACTACAAGAAATGCAAGACAATCCAAAATACTAAAATTGAAGCCGTGTTTGCACCAGACAACTACACAATTACTGGGGAGGAAGTCCTTGATTTCAGTGGGGTTTCCTTCCAAATGTCCCACACAGGTGTAAGGTATGGGACATTTAGTGGCTTAGTTTCCTTGGCTTTCCAAAATCTGTCCTTCCAGTATTTTGGATTTTAATTCCTTTTTGTGCCAGATTGACTAATTTGAGATTTGGGGGAGGGGGGTAGGAGACTGGGAAGAAAAGAAAGATAAAATTGGTGGCACAGGGGGCAATTGCTTATGTTGCCCCATCCTTCCTGAGTTAATATTTACATATACAAACTCACTCATGCCCTCCCCACAAGCAAACAAAACCCCAAAGACAATTCAGTATTCTGAAAAATTCTGTTTAATATTCCATTTGTTTGGGAAACTGTTTTTACATCCCTTCTCAACCAGCTGAAGTGCATCATGTTGAGAAAAAGATTTGATAAATTCACTATTTTCAGTGGCACTTTCTTCCATGTAAGCATAGTCAAGTCTGTTGGATAGTCATGTTGGAATGCACTTTCTCAACAGATTTACTTGGAAATTCATCCCAAGCTTTAAACTGATTTTTTTTCCAAGTAACACTGCAATCCCAGGCACTTCCCCCTGGCAGTAAATCCCATTGAATTCAGTGAGACTTGCTCCTGGGTAAGGCGTAAGGCATTGTTTTAAAAGTAGCTCTAGCTGCAATCCATTGTTCCTGAACTTACCTGAAGTAAGTTCCATTGCTCAATAGCAGGACTTATTTCTGAGTAAGCAAGCACAGGATTCTGCTGCCCTAAATTACAACCTTCCCTCCAAAGATTCCAGTTTGCATAACAATCCTCTTTACACTTGCTCAGAGGTATGTCCTGCTGCTGCATAGTAAGTATGCTTAGCACTGAAGCCTTCGGAAATGTGCATAGGTTACATTTTTAAAGAAGGCAAGACATAGAAACCAAGTTACATCTTGATTTAGTTTTTATTATATTTGCTTTTGACTTTAGCCACCTTGTTCAGTGAATAGCCATTAAACGGATCCATTTTTCCAACGCTTCTTACATCTCTGTCTATTTCTAGTGGGGAAAAAAGTGGATTTAAAATCTCTCTGTCTCACAATGTAAACAGGATTTCACACAGCCAAACTGGGTGTTATGATAATGGGGAAATGTAGGTGAGGTAGCTGGTGTACTGGTGAAAGGGGAGTCAGGAGAACCAGAAGGGAGTCTTCAGGTACAGCTCAGCAGGACTAGGTGTGTGGAGGAAGAGGTTTGATACTGAGGCAGTTGCATTATTCCTAGTAACACACACATTTTATACAGTAATCTGGACTGGGGCTGTATTAAAAGAACATCTCCAGATGTTTTGGACTAACTCCCAGCATTTCTGACCACTGGCCATGATGGCAGGGGCTTCTGGGACCCAAGTTCAAAACATCTGGAGACCAACCTTCTGCTCAATCCTAGTCCTGGAGGGCCTTTTGATCTCTGAGATTCTGGTTGGCGCGGCAGTTTCTCCATTCTCATGTTTCCTCAAATGCACTTGGAATTGTTCCCTGAAAAATATGAAATGGGCCCCATGTCCTGCCTCACTGGACTGTGAGCTACCCAGTTCCCGAAATCCTTTATCTATCAATGTCCCAGGTGCCTGTTTTTCAGGCAAATTACCTCCCAAGCTGGCACGTTTAGGCTTTCCCAGATCCTGAGTGTGTGCACTTCATAAATTCCTCTGGATGCAGTGTGGAGCAGGGGACAATTTCACAGGATTTGGGCTGTGCAGGGATTCCATCTCCTGCTGAGTTCATGGCTGAAATGCACACGGGGATGATGGGACTAGACAAGCTATTCCCCTCCATTTGGTGACTAATCTTGGATGTACTTGCTTTCTATCACTGGGGTGACATCAGCGTGCATGGTGTTTTACATAACATTGAATAAATAAGGATTTAATGTTATGAATGTTTAGATGGGAGGAAAAACATGCTGGAAATTCTAGGACTTTTTTCTGTGAAAACTGTTTCCAGCATACTGTTTTCCCTGTGTAAACCAGCAGAGCATTGCAGGAAGAAAGTGGCCAGGTCCCTGCTACCAAGGAGCTTACAATGTGAAATAGACAATGGGGGAAACCCTAAGCAAAGTAAATCAGTACTCTGGTTACAGAAGGGAATGGGGAATAAGGAGGTATGAAAGGCAGACAGGCAGGGAGGCTCTTTGGGAAAGGTGGGTTGAAAAGAGTTTTTAAAGGGAAATGGCACCCCATTCATTTCAATAGCTTTTATTCAAGAAGAAATGTGCTTATTTCATTCACTTATTATATCTATATTCCACCTTTTCTCCTGCAAGAAACTCAGGTGGCTTACCCGATCCTCAACTTCATTTTCTTTCACAACAGCAATTCTGTTACCTGAAGCCAGGAAATAAGGTTAGGGACAGAGTTCGGAGTTACCCTCCACAGGCCCCCAAATCCAAGTAGCAGGTCTGTCTCACCACTTTTTAAAGCAGTGCACAGTGCTGCTAAAGAACCCCTGGCCCACCCATAAAACTCACACATCCAGACTCTCCCAGCACCACTGCATAGCATCAGGTGGATGTTTGATGGCTGCGGGGTTGGCCCAAGAAGAAGGAGGGGGAGAGCGGGTCTGCTGGTCCTTCCCCGCCACTTACAGGGCTCCTGTTCCTTCCCCTCTCCCTCCCTCCCTCCCTCCCTCCCTCCCTTACAGCAGAACCTATCTCTGCCAGGCAGCCGGCTCTCAGGCCGCACGTCCATAAACAGCCCGAGAAGACCACCCGCGTCCGGACTGTCCTCAACGAGAAGCAGCTGCACACCTTGAGGACTTGCTATGCCGCCAACCCCAGGCCCGACGCCCTCATGAAGGAGCAACTGGTGGAAATGACGGGCCTCAGCCCCAGGGTCATTCGGGTCTGGTTCCAGAACAAGCGCTGCAAGGACAAAAAGAGGAGCATCATGATGAAGCAGCTGCAGCAACAGCAGCCCAACGACAAGGCTGTAAGTGCCCACAGAGGCCTCTGCCGCCAGGCCGCCAGGGGGCGCTCGTTGCTGGAGAAGCGCTGCTTCCCTTTGGCGGAGCAGCCCTGACTGAGGGCGCTCTTTGGGTTATCCCGCTTGAATGCCTCTTGACGTTTGGGGTGGATTGCATGCGCACTTTGCAGATGGCTGCCGTGGTTCCCTACCGAACAAACCAGAGATGCCAGAGCATGGCAGGTTTCCGGTAATATAGTTCTTAATTCAGTCGAAGGTGTGGGAAGTAGGTGGGGAAGAGAGAAAGGAATTGCCACTTCCTCCCTTTGAATTTCCTTTCACTTGTGTGCCTTAACCAGCTGGGAGAGCCAAGAAAGAACTACAATTGAAAGCTTCACCTGTTGAATTTTGGCCTTTGAAACTCTACATTCCAGACGGGGTGGGGTGGCTAATTCTATCAGTGAAAGCTGTTTTTGTGGTTTGGGGGTGAGTAATAGAGTTTGCAGGGTTAGTGGGCAATCCTGTAAGTTTTGGATACCTATACCTACCTATTTTTGGTAGAATAAAAGGAAGCCCGCCAAAGCAGAACATTTTATACTAACCCTAAATTAAAAGGCTGTTTGTTTTTAGCAGAACTTTTAACAACTCATTGCCCTCCACACATGTTGAATTACATCCCCAGTCATACCAGCTGGGGAAAGTGGGAGCTGTAGTACAAAGCAGCTAGAGGGCATCTGATTCGGGAAAGTTTTTTTCCTCACTCATTCTCAAATTCAATGGGATTTACTTCTGACTAAGCATGTACAGGCTTGCACAGTAAGTCTACTGTCCGCATACTACTCTATTCCAGAGTGGTTCCACTAAAGAAATTCCTAAGGCATGTTTTGCCCAATTTATGGGCAAATTGATCTTCCCTTCCCTTGATCTTTGAGAAGTGTAATTATGGGATTGGGGTGCCCTTTTTAAAGCCCCCCCCCCATTTATAGTAAGTTATTGTAAGCTGTCCTGGGACAATTTTCGTATAGGATGGGTAGAATATTTTAAATAAATGAATTCACATTTGAGTTAACATTATGAGCATGGATGATAGTTCTAAGAAGGATGTTGAAATCAAGTTCATGGATCAACATTAGCTTGATTAGATTCTAAATACCCAAAGCAGAACTGAGCTAGGATAAAGATTTGCTGAAAGTATAATAGGATCCTGTATGTATGGACTCAGAAGTGAATTCCCTAGGTTTAATCATTGCTCAGTAAATGTTCAAAGTAAAAAAAAATTAAATTAGTCATATCGAAGTCCGGAAGGATTGCATTTCATGGGAATAAGGTATATCCACCTATGCATGCTTACCTGGAGTTAAGTTCCACTGAATTCAATGGAACGCCTGAGTAGTTCTTCCCTAGTGCAGTTTTGGGCACCTGGACTTGGCTTCAATCGAATATTCGGTTCAGGCCCATTCAAATGAATGCTTGGGGAGCGCGTGTGTGTCGCGTGTCTTACTTGAAAGTAAGCAGGCTTCGGATCGGGGCGTGCAATGCAAGGAGAGGAGACTAGTTTCAGTCTTTGCAATGAATGCGGGAAAAGAAATTTCACACCTAGGACGTACAAATGACCCGGAACCGGACAAAGTTACCCACATTAATTCCTCCAGCCCGGGCCATCTCTTTTAGAACCTTGTTTCTACTGTTTCGAAACTAAAGTCGGGGAAGAAGAGAACGGGGAAAGAATGGCATTTATTTATTTATGTATTTATTTATAAAAGCTGCCGACCTGGTTAAATGGAATTTAAAGAGTTGTGTTTTGCTGCGGTGGAACGTGATAACCCCCAATTTAAAGGACTTCCAAGTTGCTCAAAATTAGGAAATTATGGAAATAGCTGCAGGGAGTCACTCTCCGACGCCTTCTGTTGCTGGCTGTGGAACAGGGAGAGGGGTCCAGTCGAAAAGGGACACGGGGCTCCGTTCCACTGGCCGACATTCGCCCCCAAATTCGTTTCCTCGGAAGCGACTTCCAGCGACACCGGAGCGTCTCCCGCTTCCGGTTCAAGGTCCCGGTGACGCCAGCGAAGCGGCATTCCGCCGAGGCTTGCAGCCTCTCTCTCCGCGGCCACCCAAAGCTGGAACCCGGGGGCGTCCTGCTGAAGCCAGCCTCGCAGCCCCGTCCGTCTCGGGCCAGGCCCTTCAGCTTCTTCCTTGGCCTCTAGTCGCCCAGCGGTGGCCTGGGTGGCCCAGGCCTGGATGTAGCAGGCAGCCCCCGGGTAAGATCGATCTGTGCAAGGACGCCACCTCGTCTTAGACGGGGGCTCAATGGGCTTAGCAACCCCTCCCTCCCCTCTAGAAGGGAAGGTGTTTTATTTCACTCAAAAATGTGGTGAGACAGACCTGCTGCCTTGGAGGGGGGGGGGGTCTGCTAAGCTGGGCTCTGGGTCTCTGCCCCAAAGTCCTCCTTGGACAGCACCCCTGCATTTCACGATTGTTCCTGCTTCTGCCTCGTTCGGCCCAGCTTGGTTGGACAGGGCAAAGAGAAATTGTCTTTGTAGTCCTAAGCAGGTTAACTTGAAAGTTAACCTTCCAGCACGCACTTCCTCGCTAAGGTTTTCAGCTTGAGCAGCTGCCATCTGGTGCAAACTTCCTTGGCGATAAGTCCCTGTGGCTTCTTCACAGTAGCCATGCTTAGAACGGCCGTGTCTGCCAGAAGGCAGTTAAGCGGCAGGGTCTAGGCAGGGCCACTGACAGTGACGTCTGGCAGCATGGACCACGTGTACCCCGGGTACAGAGCCGTGTCCTCTCGACAGCTTTCCGATTGTCTTGAAGACGAATTCTGGGGAGCAAGGAGAGCGTCGTCCTGATCCCAAGTGGGGCAGGTTTATCATCTCCCCACCATCCGTCTCTGTTAGAAAGCAGCGGCCTTCATCTTCGTGCTTGCTTGGGATGCTTGGCCTTATAGTCCAACACAGCTGGGGGCGCCAGATTAACACCCCACTCCCTGACTACGTTGTTTTAAGGGCTGCACCCCGAGTCAAAGCGCTGCTGGCTTGCTGCTGCGTAAGCGCGCTTGGGCCCACGGATTCCACGCAGGCGTGCCGGGATCGCAGCCTCCGTTTCCAGTGGCTGAGAGTCGATGGAACCCTCCCCTTCGTGCTGGGTTTGCTTCAGTCCGCTCTGCCGCCCGGCGGTCTCAAGCTCTGCGTGGCCAAGACAATCCCCAGAAATTGCCAAGAGGCTCTGCGCCTTCGTCCCAAGCTGGAGTGCCGCTGGGGAATTTATGCTGGAGGGCGCCTAGAAAGGGCCTTCTGGCAGCCGGAGGGGAGAAATCCGCCCGTGCGTGCGAGGGGGAACCCTTTGGAGGAGAGACCACCGTGCCCGCCCTACTCGAAGCCTGGGGTCCCGCGGAAACGTCTTTACAGGACACCCTAAGCTCGATAAGTAGGACGCGATCTTAAGCACGTTTACTCCCAAGTAAGCGCCACTACGCTCCCGGGGACATACGGCCTGCTTAAACGCAACCAGGGATCGGCCTTTAAGGCTACAGTCCTTTCTGGGAATAAGTTCTGCGGAGCTATCGCTTTCGAAAATACCTGCCCGGGATGATGGCGAGGGCTGCTTGACCCGGGCTGGAAGCGGATCTTAGAAAACGGAGATTGCGGGGGGGGGGGGGGTCTTTAGATCCACTTCCACATCCACGGCTGCGTCAGAAAAAGAGATCCTCCTCTCCCCGCCTCGCTCGCTCTCTAAAATAACACAGAAAATTCCGCGAAAGGCAGATTAACAAAGTCAATAAAGTCGAGAGCTTGATAAGCCCAGAAGGAGTTTATTGACTCTGCGGCGCTGCGAGCCAAGCGCGGTTGCAGCGGCGCGGCCATTCACCGCCTGTGCGCCTTGTTTACAGAACATCCAAGGCATGACGGGCACTCCCATGGTGGCGGCTAGTCCGGAGAGACACGACGGGGGCTTGCAGGCGAACCCGGTGGAGGTGCAGAGTTACCAGCCGCCCTGGAAAGTCCTGAGCGACTTCGCCTTGCAGAGCGACATAGATCAACCGGCTTTTCAGCAACTCGTAAGTGCCAGCTCCCGGCCGCAGCGCATGGTGCCCGCGAAGGCGTGCGTAGCCTCTCCTCTGACTCTGCCTTTAAGAGCTGGGCGGCCCTGCGTAGGCGCCCCCCCCCACCTGCTCGCCTGCCCAGCCCAGCCCAGCCCAGCCCGAGCTTGGCCTCCTGGAAGCCCTGCTCCTACGCTTCTGTGTCCGGATGCACGTAGGGATGCTGGCACGGAGATGGTCCTCCGTGGAGAGCCGAGAGCAATGCGAGTGGCGCCGCGCCTGTGCGCGCGAAGGAAGGCCACGCACAGGCAAACGGGCTTGTTTCAGCCGCTTCTCTGGATGCCAGTCCCTCCGTAATTCCGGGACACAGGTGGGGAACCCTGGGGAGCACGGGGAGCTTAGGGACGTGTTGTTACTGGTCCTGCTGGAGTTGATGACTTGGTTAATCAACTGGTTAAAAGCCAGCCAGCCAGCCAACATTTTGAATCTAAAAGGCAACCCCAATTAATAAGGAGAAAGATGTTCCTCTCAAAATAACAGCAGTGGTAATCATCATGATCAATTTAGGAATAAAAACTATAGATGGCAAGCAGACATAGAAGTGATTGCTGTCTCTGCCCCCCCCCCCCAGAGGATGGAATAATTTTCATAAGAAGGTCCTGATGCTGTGGCAGATGAAGTATGCTGCCCTCCTCTAAAATTAGTATCTCTTTACTTTTACCATGCTTCTCTATTGCCTCTAAATCCATAGATTATCTAGGCATCTTACAGAGAGTCTGTAAGAATGTGAGACTTAATGTATTTAATTAAAACCTGTAGGATTACTTGAGTAAAATGAATTGGGTAATAGCCCCAATTATCCTGAATAATTTTTGCAAGTTTTTTTTCCCAAGAAATAAAGCTGCTTTTTACACCTTACCTGCAATTCTATACACAATTAGAATGGTTATATTCCACTAATAGCAACCTGACTGTGTACTGGATAGCAACCTTTTTTTCTTCTTACAGTGTACATAGAGTTTTCTTGCACTGATCTAATTTCCACCTTTATAGAAATGAGCTTTCGGTAACTCAGGTTAAATCCAACAGTGGCACAAAGGCACCCTTCACCCCTGCAAGCAGTATGATAAAGAAGAGGTTTGAAGCTAGGCTTCCCATAACCAAATTCAACCATGGTCTAAAGTTATGAGTGGGATCTTTAAAATTTAAATCAACATTTCTGAATTGTCACCAAATTATTTTTGAACCCAAGAAGGGGAGCACACTTATGAAATGGGGTGTTAATCTTGAGAATACAGCTTTCACTGACTGTGGACTTGGACTGTATAAAAACTCTTCAATTGATGAGATTTTAATAAATCTCTCAAGGAGTTAAAAGCAACCCAATCAGCCAATAAAGCCTACATCCCTAAAGATGTTGACTTCTATAAAACATTTCAAAGATTATCAGCTGTTTTTATCCTCTATGCACATATATTTAGATGGATTATTTTTATATATTGTAATGTCAGTCTTTAGCAGTTTGTTCAAATGTATAATTTATTCCAGTTGTATTCCTCTTTATTTTTATGTACCTTTACGCATATATTTCTGAACATCCATTGATCAATAGATGCTTTTCTTTCTCTTTAAAATTGTGATTATATGCATATGTAGTTACATGCAACAGCTGCATAGTGTTAATCATCTGGCTTTCACCAAAAAGCCAACAGAAGTTTACCAGTCAATTCTGTTCTTAACTCACTTCCTTATGCCTACATCATTTGGCAGCTCATATGGGACCATATCATCTGCAATACTTAGGCCCAACCAGGTGATTTAAGGACAGAAGTTCAACCTTAACTCAATTTCCTGGCCTAAGTGTGTTAAAACCAGATCTTAAAAATAATAAGGTATGTTATGAATGGTTTTTTGGTGATTAAAATTCATAGTAGCAATGATAGACCATTGGGTAGAAACGTGTTTCCCAAAAATATAACAAGATAACCTTTTGCTTTGGAAATATATACAGATATGTATTGCAGGTGCCTTTAAAAATGGCAGCTTTAATGCTGCAAGGATATGCCGTTCAGAATGCTTATGTCACAATTTAAGTCCTGGTTTAAGGTGAAATCCTATGCATGTTAGACAGAAAGAAGTCCTGTACTTCCCGGCATGCCCCAGATATGTGGTCTGTGGAATTGCTGGAACTTGTGGATTTTTCCCCCTGCCCAAATATTTATAGGATTCCACTCTGAAGTTTTTCCTTGGGACCCCAACATTCTTACTAAGTGAAACTGAATTTAGAGAAGCTTACTTCTGAGTAAATCTATTTAGAATTACCACACGGTATTTCTGTGCTTAAAGAAAAAAAAATATAAATGACATTCTTCTTGGTAGTAAAATATAATAAATGTAAAAATGGCCAATTTGTCATTTGCTGGCCAAATGGAATAGAGTGACTCACCTTGTTTCCCGATATTATTTGGTTGTCTTGTACAGAATTGCCATGCCGCAGGCCTTCCCATGCAGCTTTTAATGATATAGGAGATGGATAGACTTTGTGGGAGGAAATAAGTCCAGGGAGATACAGGGGAAGATTGTAGGACAATGATACAGTGTGAAAAAATTACATCAGCATGACAAAGATGGGTAAAGGCCTGGCCTAGGGTGGGAAGAAAATTACATATGGAATGATTTATGTGTAATGGACATCTGTTAAAGGAGTTAAAGCAAAGTCAGTAGGCATTTTGTAAATCCCCGTGTTATTAATATTGAACTTATCAAGATGCGTGCCTCACTGGACCACAGAAAGTTGCTTGGAGCAACTAGGTTATTGGGGCGGCCAACCCAGCAAAAGTGACCCTTAATCCCTTGCCAAATGATCTGTGTCCTTTGCAACAGCAGCAGATTTTGGGCCACCTTTCACAGAGGGTAGTATCCAACACTAGTCTCAGGAAGGGGCCTAAAATGAAAAGGACTTAAGTTATTCACGATTAATTTACATCTCGTTCATTTTGATGGAACTACTCTATTATGGATATTACTCAGAATGTTAAAAGCTACATTGTTGCAAGTGATCATGGAATCCATGTCTCAGACAGCGGAGAATGGCCCTGATCCACCTGTCCTAGACACATGAATTATTCTTAATTCCCATAGGGATGTTGGCCCACAGAACTTGGAGGGGAGCATTAAACAAGCATGAACTTGTTTGCATACTTTTTGATCTATTTTAATCTATTAGCTGTTCGTACATCTCTCTAAATAAAAGGGAAAATAAAATATGTATCTAAGCAGTTCATGTATAAATGTTAACTATCACATTTCTATGCACAATTTCAAATATTGCAAGATGCAAGAACACCACCAATTATATTTAAAGTATTTGTTAAAAATGAGTCCAACCACAATTACCATTCAAAAAAGACAAAGGACAGTAAGGTGGTATTTACAGGGGGCTTCTGAAATAAGCCAGGCCTTCTGCCTCCTCCCAAACTGCATGTGGGAGGGTTTCCCAGGAGGTGGGTAACAGCACGGAGAAGGCCACTTATGAGATATCATGTGGCAAAATTCTGTTGCTTGCAGAATGACCAGCAAGGCCTCTTTAAGACACTAGAAGGCCAACTGAAGTTGTAATCCCATCACATTTTTGATACATGTAAGTACTCCATGGGCACTGATTTATTATTTTATTTGTTCTAGCCCACCTTTCCCCCAAGGAGCCCAGGTGAGATACATGACCCTCCTTCTCTCCATTTTATCCTCAAAATAACCTTGTGAAGGTGGTTTTATTGAGGGTCAATGACTGGCCCAACAGTACCCAATGAGTTTCATGGCTGATTGGAAACTCTTACCTGGATATCTCTGGTCCCAGCCCAACATGCTAACCACTACACCACACTGCCACTCTACACTTAGCAGAAGTGGTGCTGCCAGGGAATGATTTCAGGCTTGAAGTCCAAGGGCCCCATCAACTGGATAAACTGGAGATTTTCCAAATTAGGGCAACAGGGATGTCTCACCCCATTCTGAAGCAATATATACCACCATCTAAAGAAGCTCCTGCTTCATCACTCCATTAAATTCTATCTGAGGCATTGCTTAGCATCAGGTGGACTGTTGATGGCTGAGGGGGTTGGAGGGGGGACTCCCTCTTCTGGTCCTCCCCCACTCCTTACAGGGCAGCCGTTCTCCCCTTCCCTTCCTCATAGTGGAACCTAACTCTACAAGCTCCTACTAACCACTGCTCTAGAAGCGATGCTTGCCATTTGTCCATTTCCCAGATACCATGCCCAGTATCCAACACTGTCCATTTACTGGGACTCAGCAGTGGCACAACCGGAAACTTGTTTCCAGGACAGGCAAGGCCAAGAGAGCTCTGGTCAAGAAAGAATGGCTACTTTCTAGGGCAGCTGAATGAATTGGCGGTAGAGGCCACACGACACCTTGCTTATTGCATATTTACTCAGAAGTAATTTCTACTGAGGCTCCTAATGCTTACTTTTAGTTAGGATCACAGCCTTATACATCACAGTAGCTCTTCTTTGTGTAACAGCTCCTATTTAACAGTCCTACAGGCCTGCCATTTGCCAGATACTGAAAAGAGAGGAGTGGCTGCAGCTTTGCATCCCAGCTGTTGTGCGCTGGATATTCTCAGCAAAATACACATGTCTGGGGCTGTCATTCCTGCAGGTCAACATATGGGATTCATATATTTCTTGTGCACAAAAGCACATTCTGCATGGCAAAATGGCAACAGATGACGCGGCCTTCCATTGCTTTCTCTATGTCATCATCCTATTGATGCATTGTTCTTTCTTGAGGGGGTCCAAGGAAAGTTTGTTTAGAAAAGACACAACTTAGCTAGAATGATTTAAAAGCTGAATTCTTCCAAAGTCTTTGCTATATTAGCAATAACTCTAAATGGCTTATTCTAGGTTAATGAGTGTTCTTGAGACAGCGCTCATGCAACCCTGTCCTATTTATGTTTACTCAGATGTAAGTCACACTGAGTTCAGTTGGGCTTACTACCTAGTGTGTTTATATAGGCTTTCAAATAATCTTATCTGGCCCCAATGTAGCAAATTGTGAGCTTAGAACATCACCAGTTTAAAGCTCCAATGAATTATCAAAGCTAGCATGCCACAGGTTCAAGCAAGTTTGAATTTCTGTGAATTTTACCTGTGGATTTTGCAGAGGATCAGTTTTTCCCAAGTTGTGGGGATTCTGTCGACTTTTTAACTTCCTGAAGGGATTTGTGCAAATTCACATTTACACTAATTTGTGCTAATGTACCTTTGCACATATGAAAATGATTTTTGTACATCCTGCCCCCATACAATAAATCCAATTCCTTCTATGTGCAGATGGTGGAAGATAAGATGCCTAAAAATCTACAAGACACAGATGGAATGGTTTTTAAAAAACCTGTGTGTCCCCAGTTAGAACTAGAAAGGAAAAAAAAACTTTCAGTCTGTAGCTAGAGCTTCAGGTCAAGGGTTAGGTTTTACCCTTTATCTGGAAACCCATCACAATAGTGATCGTCTGTCAGGTAGCACGAAAAAGCATCCCCAGTGCTGTCATGCAGAATTTTTTGGCAGCATCGAGCTTGTGAATATGCAACGCCTTATGGTGAACCAGTGTGGTCTCACATTGTGTCCTGGAACTGGCAGTGCCTCTCCAAACTTCAAAACTCCTTGTGAGACCTGCTGTTTATGATCCTTTAAGGCTGGGTATGGGAATCTCTGGTCTGTGGGCTGAAATGCAGCCTTCAGGGCCTTCCAATCTGGCCCACAGCTAAGTTGGAAAGGGATCAAGTGCATAAACTCAGGACATTATGCAATCATATATTACACTGACCTAATGTGGAAACTTCTGAGAAATCTTTCCTTCCTCTGGTTGATTGACTGGGTTTGGACAACAGCAGGACCCATAGACAAAGACTGAGTGTAGCCTGTTATTGAATCTTGAGTGACTGCTAAAAAGCAGGTTATCATGTTGTGTGAACCCAGCTGTAATAACAAGCCATGGCTTGTTAACCATGAAAACCTATAAAGAGAACCTATGGTTTGTTGTTGAGTTGTGAACTGTGGGATGTTTGCCATGGTTTGTTATCTTGGTTGGGTTGAGACAACATAACGCATGTTTCAACAACAAAACATGGTCACATGACAATCCACATTCAACCATTCAGTGTGGGCTCTGAACCCAGTGATTGCAATGTCATGTGAATCTTCCTCATGCAGCTATCACTGCATGCTGGGGACATTGACTCAGAAATAAGTTCCACCCAGTTAAGAAGGCTTCCTCCCAAAGAAGTGTACGAAAGGATCAGGGCCTGAATAGAATGTATCTTCATGGAGAAACCTCACACTCATGTCGATCAGGCATAATTCCTTGAAAGAATTGCTCTCAAATGAGTAGCTTCTTTATTTCTCTAATCTGAAGCAAGGATCGGGAAATAATTTAAGCTGCAAATGGAAACACTGCAGAGGGATAGGCTTGAAGAAAACCAAATTCTTCAGTTTATTTCAATGTCTCCAAACCTGTTTCCATATGATTGCACAGTACAGTCCTTACTCCTGCTAGAGTTCTCCAGGCTTGTGTTTTTAATGATGGACAAAAAATACTGAGCTCCCCTTAAAGGATTGTTGTGAAGATCAGCACAATAAATGTGAAATACACTGAACACTAAACCTTTCATATAATTATCTATAGGATTAATACTTCTGGCAGCCCAACTTTTCACATTGTCCAAGGTATTCAAATGTTTCAGTTCAGCATTCCTTGTATTTCACACTCTGGGTTTTATCCAACTCCGTGTTTCCATCCCTTTTCATTTCAAAATTGATTGGCTATTTATCATTTCCCAAATGTTTAATATTGCATTTGGAAAGTTCACAAGTCTACCTTGAGGGGATAGTGAATCATCAGGATTGCTGTGGAAGGCTAGCAAAGCATGCACCCAAATATTTTAAATGAGAAGATGTACATTAATTTCTACAGATATGTTTTATTTTCCTATTCTCATACTGTTTTATTTTCCTATTGCCAAAGAGCTGTGGCTGCAAGACAGGAAGACCATAAAGTAATGGAGGTTAGCCTGTTATAGGAGTGATGGTTCAGTGATGATGATGCCCATGGATACAGATGTTTGCATAGGACAGGTTTCTGACCTGAAGAACCTAGAGTGAACGCAATCATTTTTTGAAAGTCAAAGAATAAAGCTCTTCAGTTGAATCCAGACTTAGGCATGTTTAGAGTAGACCTATTGAAATTAATGGACTTTTGTTGGTCTTGACTAACTTAAATCACACTGATTTCAGTGGGTTTACTTGAAACTGTTTTAAGTCTGGATCCAACCCATTCCCTTTCCTTTCTTGTAAATCTCTCTCTCTCTCTCTCTCTCTCTTTCTCTGTTTCTCAATATTTGGCAGGTTAATTTTTCAGAAGGAGGCCCAGGTTCCAATTCCACCGGAAGTGAGGTAGCGTCCATGTCTTCTCAGCTCCCGGATACACCAAACAGCATGGTAGCCAGTCCTATCGAGGCATGAGGGACATTTGTTGTGCTATGATGGTCCTTGAATCTGTTCGCCCCCTCCTGGAGAGAGTTGGAACACTATCACATTGGGGTACCCGAAGAGAAACGAAACAGGACAGAAGGAAAAGTATTTAACACGACTGTGGTCATGAACCTAAAGCAAAGAAAACTCCATGAACTGTCTGGGGCATCTTGTTCGTTTTTTGGTTTGTTTTGCAATGATAAGGTAGCAACACTGTGAAGACAATCATGGGATCTTACTAGAATAATACTCATAAAGAGCGAATGAAAATGCTTTTTAATAATAATAATAATAATAATAATAATACACCCTCCCAAAAGGAGCATATGAGGATCAAGGGGAGAAAAAGACGTTTGTGAAACGCAGAGGATTTAGACCCTGGGATCTCCGACCTTTTTCCAAATGGCGTATTTCAGTGACTGCACATCCTCCAGAGAAGGAAGAAGAAACCCTAATATGCATCCTAAAGCGAATGGTGCTCTTTCTATACCGGCCTTTCCCTTGCCAAAAAGAAATCAATAAAATAAAAATTAAATATATATAAATATATATATATATATATATATATAATTAAGAAGGAGCTCTGTTAGGTTGCATTTTCCAAGATCAAGAAAGGACAATCTCTACTTCTACCCCCCTTCACGACAGAATGAGCCATTACGAAGGTGTGGAGATGCGAGCGGTTTGGAATTTCTCTCCCTCTCTCTTTCTCTTTCTCTCTCTCTTCTCTTTTATCAAGAGGGTTGTTTGGACGCCTGGGTCCCCGATAGCATGTACTGTAGCTTTTTCTTGCCCTCTCCTGTTGTTGTTTTTTTAAAAAAATTGTGGGGGTGGGAGGGGCTGTTTTTTGTTGAAATCCTCCTCCTCTCCTGAAATCTCCAATGACCTATTATTTTTTTAAGGGAGGGAGTGGTTGGTTATTATTTTTTTAATCCCAATTTAAACCTTCAATCGCAACAAGGTATACCTCTCTTTGGCCACAAACATATAATGTCTTTTGGGACTGTGTCTTTGACTGGCGTCCGTTCAATAACCCTCTTATTCCTTCCCCCCAAAGATGTGTATAGTTCTTGGTTTTTAAAATTGTGGGAGGGCTGGCTTTTCTTTTTCTTTTCTCTTTTTGTTTCTTTATGAACTGCATTATTTTCCTCTCTCTTTCTCCTTCGCTGGAAATAAGGGGGAGATCCTTTTTTGTTTGTTTGTTTGTTTTGCTCTCACATTGCAAAAATTATAAAGTAATTTATTATTTATTATCCGAAGACTTGCCACTTTTTCATGTCCTGGTTTTGTGTTGTTGCTATTGTTTGGTTATGTGTGTGTGTGTGCGTGTGTGTGTTTTGTTTTTCTTTTGCTATTTTTTTTAAATAAAGGGCATGATCCATACTGAACAGTTCTCCTATACAAGCCCCTATTGTAAAACAAGAACAAAAATAGAAAAAGAGGGAGAGAAGCTTTAGTTCTTGTGCAGGAGAATGTCTCAGAGGATTAAACCTAAAGAAAGAATGAAGGTTGGGGAAGGTTTTACCATGGTCTTTGAAAGTTTATGTCAAATTCTATGTGGGGCTTTTATTTTATTATTTTTTTATTTTTGTTGGTCCTTTTATTTTTCTCTCCTTAAGTATTATGTGAAATAAAAGCGCTGTATGTAGAATGATTATATCTTCAGGACTATTTCACTAAATAAACGTTTGGTATAGAGGAACAATAAAATAATTGAGAAGAATGACCCAAATGCCCTCTTTTATATATATAATATGATGCAGAGAAATATTATATATATAGATATATACACACACACATATATATATAAATATACCAGACGTATTTACAAGTTAGCTGCTGAATGCCTGAAATAAATGGCTATGTGACAAGCTGATGCAACTTGGAATAAGGGCTGTGTGATATTTTATTACACATATTAACAACCAGCTTATAAATTTCCATATCTGAACATGTCAGTGATAATAATCCAGTACATTTCTTTCCACAGTCTCTACCACCCAACACACTCACCCACCCATCCAAGAAGCAGCATGTCCTTAGTTTTCTAGAAAGTTACTTTTGTTCTTACTTCTGAGTCAGTGTTGTAAAACTTGGCCGGTCCCAGACTGACCCCAACTTAAAAGTCAGGACTGTTTGGCAATGACATTTGCACTATTTCAGTCTGCAGGGCTTCAAAACTGTGCATCTAAAAAAGATTTAACTGCCAACATGACAAACACCCGTTTGTGTATTTTTCACCACCACCCATCAAACGTGGGTTTGTTCTTAGGTAATTTGTGGAAAAGCCCTTTCCACCAAAAAAAAAAAAAAAAAAAGAAAAAGAAAAAAAAAGAAAGAAAGGCACGCTCAGGATGTGGGACTCTCACCAGACTGTCTAGCACGTAAAGAGGTATATGTCTGTCTCTTTCTTTGGATGCTGTATACCAAAGTCGCACGGTTCGGGTTGTTTCTTACCTGATCTGTTTTTATTTGGGAGAGGAAAAGACGAAGATAAGGGGCGGGGAGGGGGTGGGAGGGCTGCATTTCGCTTCGCAAGTGAAGGATGACTGTTATTCGTCAGTGTCTGTTGTCAGGAGCGCTGGGAAACGCTGCAGGGCAGATTCTGGCTTGAGGGGACTCGGCCAGCGGTGTTTGTTGTTTTTCTTTCGACTTCCGTTTTCCTTCAGGATTTGGAGAGGGAGGGAGGGAGGGATGGCAAGCGGTGGTGAAAGCTGGATGGGGAGAGAAAGGCGGGGGGGGGGGGAATAAGCAGCCCTGTCGTGGGAACAAAGGTGCGACCCACCTACCTTTTAAGAGGACGACTTTAAGTTCGCGTCTGAAAGCGACGCCGCTTTGTGTTCTCATTGTTTAGTCTGGAGTAGGGCAGGAACCTCGATACGGATCGAGGCCCTAGGGGGTATAAAGTCCCCGGACGCTCCCCTGGCAGCCGAGCTAGAGGAAAAAGGAAAATACAAATATGGAGGAGACGGATGTAAAGTCTTGTGCGTTTTGGACCCAAGCGGGGCCAGAGTGCTTTTCTGGTTAAGTCCCGGTCGAAACGGAACTTGCTTTCCAGTAATCCCCGTGCAAGGAGAATCGGTGACTTCCGCCTTTATGCATTGTCCCTAGGAGCACATCTCGTGGAAAAATTCATGGAGTCCTGAGTAGACACGATAGCTCTGGGGTGTGGGAATCTTGCTTCAGCGCCCTACATGGGAGGCGATTCACACCTAGTTAAACCGAAACACTTGACCCCCGATCCAAGACTCAGTTAAGGAGAAGTACTTAAAATAATCCCGGTCCCTCCCCAATTTAAGGAACAGCGATCTTTGCCAGATTTATTTGAAAACAACTTCTCGTCTAACCACAGGCCTTTCTTCCAGATAAATATGGCCTGTCCAGGAGCAGGGAGGATAAGGCGATTAAGCCGTTGCTCGCCACTTCATCCTGTAGGATGCGTGGGAAAAGCTGGTTGAGATGCCATGCTAGGATGACACCCTTTGGCCCTCCTCCCGACCTAGTTAACAAAACCAAACGGCGCAAATTCGGATCTGAGGTAGCTCTTTGGGGTCTTGGAAAGACCGTGTAAACTAGTGTATTAAAATAGTCACTGATTTATTTATTGTTGATCATCATGGTAATTACTAAAGCGACCTCAGCACATGCTTCCTAATACATAAAAATAGTTGCAATACTATGCCCACTTAGGGAAGAGTAACTCGGTGGGGCTTACTTATGAGCAGGCATATTTAGGAGTATGTAGGAAGACCGAATAGTTTGATCGAGGTAGGACCTGTGAGCTGGTCCCGAAGGTGTAGCTTTGCACGGTAGTCCTCAATAGCAAGACCCATTGAGCTCAACGGAGCTTGTTTCCAGCGACAAGTATATATAAGAGGACCATGGAGTGAAAGTTAAAGTAGAGAAGAGTGCAAGCGTGGAGGAGCCTGCAGAGAAAGTCTCCATTCATGGCATTTAAAACATTTTCATTTAAAGAAAGAAAGAAAAAACCCTCTTACACATGAGGTGGTAAGAGCCACTGAAGTGAAGAGTTACTCGAAGTAGGGCTTAACTCTCCCACGAACAGAGTAAGATCAGGATTGGGGCCGAGTCCTTACTTTTATTTTACATTTGAGCAAGGGGTGGAGAGAGTCGTCTTGCTGGTGGTCTGTTGTTAAAGCGAAGATGGACTTCCCCGTTTTCTCAGATTTCCTAGGTGTTGTTTGTGCCGCTTCCCAAATAAATGTTTCCGACCCAATGCGTGCTACTCGCCCGTTGCCTGCCAGACAGGGTGGGCCCTGCTACAAATCCCAGATGTTTCCCGACAAAGTTTTCACCCGCCTAAGTGCAGAGCCTTTGGCCGGCCCGGCCCGGCCCGGCCAAAGTGCTGCACGGATCGCGTCAAAACGGGGAGGAAAGAGAAAGTGTGGTTTTAAAATAACATTTCTCAGTCTTCGGTAGAAGAAAAGTCGATGTGAGCTTTTACGGGATAGCCTCGGCTTGCTTCTGAGTAGACAATTGTAATTCCTGGGCACGCCACCTCAAAAGCGAAAGTAACCAACTCCCTCCGCCCCCAAACACACACTGAACTCAATGAGCTCAATCCTGCACGAGCGTGCAGCGCAATGGCAGTCGAAGAAACATGCTGCAAATATAAACGCCTCGGCCGCCCCGCGGGAAAAGCGGGACTAATCTCCAATTGACTGTGCGCGGCGTTCTCCTGGAAACCAAAAATCTAGGTGACCATATGTCTACTCGGAAGTAAGCCCCAGGGAATCCACTCGACTTCCAGCTATGCTTCCAGAGGCCTGAAGCCTTCTTAGCGTCTTTTCTACCCTCGTATTTATTGCATATGCACAGGTTTATTTTAAGCATCACTATACCTGGTTGTGTAAATATTAATTTTTAGATTTAAAAGTGTCGGGACAAGCTTCAACTGTTATCGTCTTATATTGACGCCGCATCCTAAGGCTGCTATCTGCTCTGACAGGGACAGCGGCGCACAGAGGGGC